GGGAGAAGAACGACGCGCAGAGACCACATCAACGGTGGATGCAGTTCCAATACCAACGCCGGAATATTTTCCAATCCATCGTTTGACACCTTCTGCTGTTGCTTTGGACGGTTGGGTGCTCCGTTGTCTGCGAAGGTCGAGGGTACCGAGTCTCGTTGGGAGGCACGCTGAGGCCTCGGGATTCTAGCCCCAGTTCGAAGACTGCTTATTTTATCCAACGGGGTTGGCAAGAAAGGTTCAAATTAGCTCCACTTCGCCGTTTGAGCTAAGGCAAGAGGGAAGTTAGCTAGAAGGAACGTTGTGTACCTTGCATATCGGTTGAGGAGGGACTTCTCAGCAGGGATATCTCTCAGCCGCCCTACTTTTTTTTCTGGCCGTTTCCTCTAATATCACTTCGTCGCACATCTTTGGATTTGGCGCTTGCCAAGCGCCTCCTCTGTGGGTGTCGGGATGACGCCGTGACTGACAGGCGCACCCTAACCCTGGGTCTTCCAATCCAAGCAACAAGCTTGGCAATGACGTAACCTACGTCATGCCTCACACCGTGCGTCCAACCACTGCGCGCCCCGCGCTTCTCTGGATACGGTTCGCGGTCTGCGTGAACAGGTTTCTTGCTTTCTGTGTTTCGAGATGGTCGTCACCGTATTCAGCCATGGGGGCCTCTCCACTCTTTTCTTTTTCACAAACCGTGAGCCCGGCATGCTACGCCAGACATTCGATAGCGACCCACGAACATGGATGACTTCGAAGATCGCGGCCCCAGGCGGGCACATGGCGGACCCTACACGGCAAAGCATCCCGTGCCCACCGTTCGGGGCTATCGCGAGCACCGCGCCGAGCTGAAGCGCCGAGAGGGCGACGCCCAAGACTTCCCTGCGAGCGACCACGACGAAGCAGAGTCCCAGCAGAACCCCGAATCCAAGACAAAGTGCGCCTACGACTCCCTCAAAGCCATTGCCAAAGACCAGGACAAGCCCGAAGATGGGCATACACCGTACCCGCACGCGAATCGAAACGCCGAAGGCCCCCCTGACAATTACCGGTCCCAGTTTCGGCGCGGCTTCCAAGGCGGGGACGCGGACGATCACAGCGCCGAGGAAGACACCGGTGACGAGCACGATGATTCCCACAGCGAGCATAAGAAACAAGAGAAGGAGAAAAAGAGCGCCACCGAAACCGTCGCCGGCTCCATCGATCCCAAGGAGAAGCGCAAGACGATGAAGAAGGCCAAGCGCTCAGGCAATGGCCGTGAGGTCACCGACCCCATCACCCACCTCCCCGTCGTTATACATGACATGACAAACCGCGATCTTCATGCGTGTCCCGAGAACGAGTCTGGCGCGGGAGAGGAGGTGGAGACCTTGACGGGCGGAGAGTGTGTGAGGAAGGACGAAGAGCAGCTGGAGGCCGAGAGAAAGACTGGAGAGAGGGGGCTGAAGGGCATGAAGGGGCTGTTTCCCGGGCCGAGGGTGGGAGAGGTAAAGGGAGATATGGTGGGAGCTTTCCAGGAGGCTTTTCTGGCGGCGGTTGGAGGCGTGGCGTTGCTGGGGGTGGTGATTGTTGGTGGGATGGGCATGCTGATGAGGGAAGGGGAGAGTGGGAACGGGTGGTTTGGCCATGCTAGACGGCCGTGGCTTACAGTGGGTGTGGCCGTTGCCGCGATGACTGCTGCTGTGGGCGCAATGCTGTACGGCGTGCACGGGTGGCTGTCACAGAAGATCGACAACATTCTTGAGGACGAGGTCTGGGACGCGGGGCGCCAGCAGGAGATCAAGCGGAACGACTCGGAGATCGAGCTCCCAGAGTCTGTCGCCTGGTTGAACAGCCTGCTGGCCTCAGTCTGGCGGCTCATCAACCCCGATCTGTTCTCTGCTCTGGTGGACACGCTCGAGGATGTCATGCAAGCGTCACTGCCCAAGATTGTCCGGATGGTCAGCGTCGATGACATTGGACAAGGCAGCGAGGCCTTCAGGATTCTTGGGATTCGGTGGCTTCCAACCGGAGCCGCAGGGCAGTCCGTCGACAGCAATGGCAAGCTGCGGCCGGCTAAGGACAGTGGCCGAAAAGTGAAGGGAGAAGGCCAACAAGACGAAAAATCGCAGGACAAGGGAGATGAGAAACCGGACCAAGACCAGGAGACCCAGGAAGGAAGGGAGGCCGAAGAAGGTGACTTCGTCAACCTCGAGCTGGCCTTTGCGTACAGGGCGCGAACCTCGGGCAAGTCGATCAAGAGCAAGGCCAAGAACGCTCATCTCTACCTCAAGTTCTACCTCCCTGGGAACATCGCTGTCCCTGTGTGGGTCGAGCTGCGAGGCATCGTCGGGATCATGCGCCTCCGCCTGCAGCTCACGCCTGATCCGCCCTTCTTTCAGCTCTGCACTCTCACGTTCCTGGGCCAGCCACGGGCTGATCTGTCGTGCGTGCCACTCTCGAAGCACAGCCTCAACCTCATGAACGTACCTCTCATTTCGTCCTTCGTTCAGTCGTCTATCGATGCCGCACTGGCTGAATATGTTGCCCCGAAGTCTCTCACCCTCGACCTCAAGGATATGCTCATGGGTGAGGACTTCAAGAAGGACACTCTCGCGCGCGGCGTTGTGCTCGTCCACATCAAGCGAGCACGAGGCTTTAAGGAGGGCGACGGTGGCATCGGGCCCATCAAAAAGGGATCCAGTGACAGCTACGTCAGCGTATCCTGGGGCAAGTTTGGCAAGCCTGTGGCGTGCACGCGCATCATCAAGGAAGAGCAAGAGCCAAACTGGGACGAGTGGGCCATGGTCCTGGTTACTCCCGACGAGATCAATGCCGAAGAGACGCTTCGCCTGCAGCTCTGGGATTCAGATAAGCACACTGCTGACGATGACCTTGGGCGGGTTGAGGTGAACCTGAAGGAGCTAATACATGGATCACACACAAAGAACAAGATGTGGGACCGGGAGGACGAGCTGCGGGCAGAGGATCCTGATGAGAAGATGCCCGGGACGCTCACCTGGTCGGTCGGGTACTTCTCCAAGGCCCACATCCAGCAATGCCAGCTCAATAAGCAAACATTCGAGCCCAGCATTCGAAGCACCGATGGGATCAAGAAGCGGGTGTCGGAAGATGCGAGATCGAAGCTTCGGGAGGCCATGTCATCTCGCGATGTTAGTGATGAGCTGAGGCAACAGGAGGCACAGGACGGCAAGGAGCTCGAGGACATGATGATCATCTCGTCTCCGCCGCCCGAAGAGTACCCTAGCGGTATGCTTGGCATCCAGATCCATAACATCACAGGGCTTGAGGTAGCGATACTGAACCGCAGTCGCAGCGGGCACGGTGAAGACCGGGAGGACGAGGCCGAGCAGTCTGGAGAGCTCCCTGACAGCTACTGCACCGTCATTCTCAACCACAAGAAGATCTACCGCACCCGGACGAAGCCCAAGAATGCAAAGCCATTCTTCAACGCTGGCACCGAGCGGTTCGTCAAGGACTGGAGGACTGCGGAGGTTATCATCTCAGTGCGCGACAGTCGAGAAGGAGAAAACGACCCCCTGCTTGGTGTGGTGTACCTTCCCCTGGGGCGAGTCTTTGCCAACCGCAGTCAGATTATGGATACGTACCCTCTCGCTGGAGGCATTGGATACGGTCGAGCTAGGATCAGCATGGTCTGGCGCAGCGTCGAGCTCAAGATGCCGAGGGAGCTCGCGGGATGGGATTACGGCACACTTGAAGTCATTGGCGCGATCAAGGCTGTCGATCAACTCCCTGAAAAGCTGAAGGGGTGCAAGCTGAAGCTGCGGACCAAGACCAACAAGGCGAAGATGTACTCGCATCAAGATGAGGGCGTCTGGAAGCCAAAACGCGAGGACGAGAACGTCTTCCTCGGCGTGACAAAGCGGTATGCGTCGCCGGTGATAATCCATTTCCGCGACTCGTCGTTCATGTCAGAAGATAACCCAGGGCTGGCGGTCCTGTGGCTCACGGGTATCCCCGACGAGGAGGACCAAACCGTGAAAGTCAAGGTCTGGAAGGGCGGGAAGCATCAACTTCGGCGCGCGACGGCCTGTGCGGACTATCGTGGCCTGGACGAAGGGGAGGAACCACTTGGAGAAGTTGAGCTGCGTGTGCGGTTCTGGAGGGGACTGAGCGGATATCACAAGGCGTACGCAGGCAAGGAGAAGAAAGGGGATGTGAAGGGGGTGATGGAGGTGCTCGACACGGTGAACGATGAGAATATGGGGGAGGATAGTGAGGAATCGTCGTCATTGCGAAGCTGGGAGTCGTCGTCGGATTCGGACACAGACTCTGACTCTGACTCGGAGGATGAGTCCGGTCTCCCGAAAAGGGGTAGCTCGCAGGAAGAGATCAACAAGCGGAAGATGCTCCGCAAGGCGGGCGATGACTCCAGCCCAGACGACGACGACGATCAAGGCCCGGTGAAGACGGTAAAGAGCTTCCCATCCAAGATCAAGAACCGAGCGTCGTCGTTGATGGATGGGAAAGGAGGAGATGAGGACGATGGTAAGAGGGGGGTTGTGTCGCAGGTGCAGGACTACAAGAGGAACCATAAGCGGTTACATCGGAAGCATAGGGGGGTGATGCAGTGGAAGGCTACGAGGACGCTGGATTGGATGGTGGATAAGGCGAAGCAGAGTAAGGGGAGGGTGGAGGAGCTGGGGCATCATGGGGAGAAGGAGCAGGGGATTGAGACGGAGGTTTGAGGTCTGTTGACTTGGGTGTGTTGATGGGTGGAAGGACTGTAATAACTGGGTGCAGAGTGCGGAATGGTAATGCTATTATGGAGTGTATCACCAATGTGACGACTGTTCTGGATGGAAGAGAGAGCACACTCAGGGGAAGCTTGTTAAAAAGGAGATTACGTCGAAATAATACCGCCGAAGCCTCGTCTTCCGCTCCAGCTTCTGCTTCACTATCTTCTTCTGGCTCTCTGGTGCGCCTTCATCTTCGCTAGATACCTTGGGTCGGGCGGAAAAGAACAAAAACTCAAAAAGAAAGACAGTTGCCCAGTAACAGGATTGAACTGTTGACCTTCGCATGACTTGATATCTCACAAGGTAAGAAAGATATTAGTACGACGCTCTAACCAGCTGAGCTAACCAGGCTTTTGTTGTTGCTTATGCATGACATGATTGTCATCATGTTGCACAGCTGATGCGAGTTAGAGTTGAGAAGTTGAGAAATTGAAAAGGATGTGTGGGCCCGCTTGCCTGTGAGGGTCCGAAGTCGCCAAGTGAGACTGATCACGAGGCAGAACAAAGAGGGCAAAGGGCGGATGATGATAAATCGCATTGATTGATTGGTTTTTCTAGTATTGAGAGTTATCTCCGACTGGAAGGAATCTTCGCCAGTCTTACGGCGAGTTAGTACGTCGTGGAGTGGAGCCGGAATCTGTGTCGGTCCTGGTCACGCCAGGCAGGAAGGAACGTCGCGTGCCACTGAAACTTTAAAGGAGGGGGCATTTTATGACTGCCTGATTTTGCGGCTAGGGAGATGGGAATTGAACCTTTTCCAAAAACAACATCCGGCCATCGCTTCTTGGTCTTTTGCGCTTCTCCCGTTTAGCGCCGTGGAATAGGAATGGTGAGTTGTTCAAAGTCGGGTCTGGTTCCCGCCAAAGATCAGATCCAAATTGAGATTGTGGCTAACGCTCGAGCAAACAGATCATAACCCCTTGAAATGGGGCGAAGCGCGGCTCTCATACGCGGGATACGCGGGAACGGGCTGGGCGTACAGGGAGTGGCACAAGTGGGATTGGCGATGCGTTTCGAAAGGATTCAAGGGCTTGTCGAAGGAAGCGCGCGAAAGTCCGAGGTCAAACTCAGCCATTCCCTCGTCTATGCAACTACTTAGACCAACGAGCGCCCAATATCCAAATGGTGTTCCCTACCGACCCACGTCGCCGCGCCGTCGACAGCGACGCCAATGCATCATACAGCCGTGGATGCAACGCGAGCGGACGGCTCGACGACGTCGGCGCCTCCATATCTATGGCCAGAGTCGCACGGATGGATGGGCCACCAATACCAACCGGTAGAAGGTGACATGGGGTCGGGCAGGATTTCTCCTGAATCATTGGATCATCAAGAAACCACCGATGCACAGCTACGCCGGCCGTCACCGGTGACCCTCGACATCAACCCGACGCGCGCAAATCCTGTACTGCGATGGCGTCCGCCCTATCTTCGCCGTTCCTTTCTCGCCCTCTTCGCCTTTGTGCTTCTCCTCGTTCTCGCCTCAACAGAAGTGCTCCTCGTACAATCCCAAAGACACAGCGGTATCGCGAACGCAAAATCGAGCCAGCATTACCTTTGGACATTTGGACCTACAGCATTCCTTACACTTCTCGCCGTCCTATGGGCCCGCGTCGATCACCAGAGCAAGCTCGTCGCCCCATGGTTGCGTCTATCGCGAGAAGCCAGCCATCCGAGCCGCACGTTGCAGCTGGACTATCTTTCAGACTTCCTGCCCTGGTCGGTACCGAAGGCGATCAAAAATAAGGACTTTATTGTCTCCGTCACGTCGGCGGTCTCCGTTCTGCTCAAAGTCTTGGTCATCATTTCCACCGGCCTCATTACTCTTTCCTGGACGCCTGTCTCCTACGATTCTTACCCGATGGTGGCTCAGAGTGTTTTCAGGAACAGCAACGCCGAGCTTGCCAACTCTGGGACCCTCGCTTACTACATGATGAGCGGACATAGGCAGAGGAATCTCACATACCCTGACGGGCTGTTCGGTGGATATGCTTTCCAGCCCATCCAAAGCGATGCGCAGAGCCCAGAGAGGACCAATATCACGGTGGATGCCTTTCGGGGTTCCCTGGATTGTCAACCGACAGAGCTGATTCTGAGAGGGTCAGCACCACCGGTGCCACAGTTCCCAGATCAGAAGATGAATCTCACTTTGACGGATCCGGAATGCAGGATTGGGTTGTTGCAACTGACCGGACCGAACTATAAATGCGACAACTGTACAACCACCTTTGCCCGTTACGCTCCTATCTGGTGCGATGGGTCAGGGGCGGGAGAGCCGGACAGAGAGCGGAGGATCTTCGTCATGTTTGGGAGCTTGAGCTATGTCATGGACAGGTCTAGGAACCTCAGCACCCACGCTCCCGTCCCAAGACATCCGTACGTCGCCACTCTACATCGTTCGGGCCAGCTTCTCTGCATCCCAAAATTTGATATCGGCAAGGTTGAAGTGGTTCGCGACAGAGCCAACATCAGAAGCGTCACTCCTATACCCAGTAGTTTCACCGGCACACTCGACTCCGTTAGCCCCTGGGAGATTGCGACGGCCCACTTCAATGTCACAAACTCAGTACTCAATAACCTAAAAGGCCAGGAGCAATATAGGATTACTCTCAACGTTTCCGATTCCGAAATCGACGTTGACAGTTACATGGAGCTTGCGGTCCATACCCAGCTCTCGCCCGGCAAGCCAGTATCATCGTTGTACGACATCAACAACCTTCACCAGCTTGCGGAAGGCTATTATCAACAGTCCACCGCTATCATCGCCAAACAAGCATTGATGGAGCCTGCTTCTCTCGAAGTACGTGGCACCGCAACCGTCTTTGCTGAACGTCTGCTGGTTCAGGCTTGGGCAGCTCACTGGATGGCGGGCATACTTGGCTTTTGTTCCATTATCATACTCGTCGCTTTACTTGTAGTGCCATCCCGAGGCATTTTGCCATGCAACCCGAGCACAATCCACGGAATGGCCTCGCTGATCCAACATAGCGACGACCTGGTTGCGAGGTTGGAATTCTCGGGAACTGCCAGCGACAAGCATCTCGGTCATGTCTTACAAGGCACCCAATTCCATTCATCAGTTGGGGCCGGTCCCATGGCCCAAGCCCGGTTTGCTATCCAGGACACTCGTGGCGATGGGAATGCTGACGCCCTGCACTTCCCCCAGTTCAGATCGCTCCAAGCTCACCCGGCCATCGTGCATCCAGCTACGCGAACAGCCCTATGTGTTGTTTTGGCAGGGCTAGTTATCGCACTGGAATTGTTGCTTCGCAAGTCAGCTGCTGAAGACGGATTGGGAGACGAGGAAGAAGGCACGTCGATCCATTACACGTGGACGGCAATTCCAGCTATTGTGTTTGGTGCCATCGCCATGATCATATCCGCAATGGAGTTCCGAATTCGGTGTCTGGCTCCTTATGTTGGACTCACCCGGCGAGTTGACAGGCAGTCGTTTATGTCTCTGGACCTCTTGGACATGTCCCTCCCTCGTCTTTTGTACAGGGAGATTCGGATGGTGAATATCGGGGCACTCGCTGCAACCCTGGCTCTTCTTGCCGCGTCTTTCTTCACGATCTTCTCGCCGTCTCTATTCCACACCTGTCCGTTTCCAGTCGAACGTTCTGTGAAGTTGCAAGCCAACCAGTCATTTTCTAGGAATCCGGAGAGATTCTCTACCGACACACGAGCAGCCGAGGTCTCATCTCTGATTCTTACGAGCAATTATACCTACGGTAGATTCACCTACGAGGATCTAGCGTTCCCACAGCTCGTGTTCTCCGACCCATCGGCGACGCAAACCGGACTCATGTTGAATGGGAGCTCGGTGTCTATTGACGCAGTTATCCCCGCCGTTCGTGCAAGATTGCATTGCCAGCCCTACGATCGCTCGCAGATCCGAACAAATCTTACCTTCGAGACTTCGTTTAGCGGGGAAGCTGTGAACCCACTTCAGCTAACCATTGAAGGCAAAGGATGCCTAAGGCGACTCGGGTACGATGCGGAGTTCAGGACCAACCCAGAGACCATGTCCTTTGGGTTAGCCAAGGAAGGGTTTGGTGACACGGGAATCAACGGATGCAGCGATCTTGTCTACATCTGGGGAAAGATGGACTACGCAGCTGATCCCATTGTTCGGCATGTCGCTGCTCTGGGCTGTAACTTGACGATGGAGGCCGTGGATGTTGATGTGAGGTTTTCCGGAACGGCTCTGGATATTGACAACCAGAATCCTCCTCGACCGCGAGAGAACACGGCCAGGGTCTCGCGAATCTGGGAGCGAAATGAGACCAGCAGGGACAACGAGCTGCTCTTTGTTTACGGCAATTTGGTCAGCTTGGACAACAAGAGAGCCTCGCAATTGACACCGTTCTTTCAGTTGCTCACGGCTTCACCATGGGCTGTCCCGGAATACGACCTGGGCGACCCGAGTGCGGACGAGAAGGTCAGAGAGGCGATCAAATTCCAAAACGGCATCATCATCGCGCAGTCGCTTGCTTTCAACCTACAGCCAGCCAACATCTCGAACGCGACGTTTGCCGACCCGAAACCGGGCGAAAATGATGCGCAGCTGGTGTTTGATGCCGTTGTTACCCGGCGAGATGCACGTCGCCGTGTCATACAAGACGCTCTCTCGACACGCGTTCTGGAAGGCCTCCTCGGCGGCACGCTTCTTCTTCTCGTCGCGAGCTGGATCTTTATGCGCAAGACGGCGGTGCTTGCCAGCAGCCCGACATCGATCGCGTCGCGGGCGGCGCTAATTGCGGGGGGGAATTTACTCTCGCTTCTGCCCGGGAACGCCCAGACGCGGCGCCCGGAGGAGATTGCGACGGCGCTCGGGGAAAGGACCCACTTTCGGATGGGCTGGTGGGCTGGTGTGGGCGGTGTCAGCAGGTTCGGCATCTTTGTTGCGGGGGCGGGGGACGAGGATGCGAAGCCTGAGGACGAATGGGCCGAGACCGAGTACCGCTCGAGCGAATACGCGGCGGTTGGACACGAGGTCGGAGGTCGGAGCGCAGAAATGTCACCGTGTCGGCTGCCCGGACGAGAGGAATCGAAATGAGGTGACGCCAATGCTGAAGGGTTTGAAAGATGTGACTGTCGGATTGGAGCTGGAGGTCCATGGAATCTATACCCAATGAGGACCACGAGAACCACGAACAAAAAGTGCACTATTTTAGGGCCGGCCTTAATGCCAATAAAATGACAATATCTTAATGCCATTGCGCAACAAATATCAGCACAGACCCAGAGAGCTGGTTCGCGGCGGTCGGGCTGTCAATGTCAATCCCACGTGGTTTTTGATGCGCCATCGATCACCTTCGGGAGATGAGCGGGCGAACCAGGAAATCTGC